CAATCTAACCCTCCCCATTTCAATTTAAACCCATTACCCCTTGTCCTGTCACTACAGGCCCTTGTAAAAAGTCTCCTCCCAGCTTCCTTGTAGCCCCTTCAGGTACTGGAAGGCTGCAATAAGGTCTCCCCGGAGCCTTCTCTTCTCCAGGCTGAACAAGCATCCTTGCTTGAAAGAAAATTAGTTTGCTAAAAAGTAAAAGGTCTACTGCTATGAACTTCTTTTTCTGGTAAAGAGATTGTAGTTGGAAAGCCACCAATTTTTACTGCATATGTATTTAAGATGTATAAGCAATGTACACAAATATGGACACCACTACTTGTCCCACTGGCAAGCCTCAGAATAATTATATGGTTAAGTAGTCTTCTTTCAGGCCTGTATTTTATCTATTCGAGTTGGCGTCATTGTATTTTCAGTAACACTCTCATCCATGTTTTTCAAGTCTTCTGAAAACCAGTATAATTACAAAAAAGAAAAGCTTAAAAGTGACAATTCAACCAGAACTTTGCTACTTTGCTCATTAGAGCTTATGCCTATTTTACAAACCTTTATGGAATAGACAGCACAATAAACAAAGAGGAAGTACTTCTATACATAATGAAAAACTGACTCTAGGTGTTTACCTTGGCAACCAGGCTCAGAAGGCATTTGAGGAAGTAATACACATGTTAAAATCTTTTCTCCTGTTTCAGGGTCTGTGTCAGTCTGAAACGTCAGCAAAGGTTGGGACTGGTTATCAGACAACCACAAAGCCTTCAGCTTTAAGGTAGTCAGTGAGAGGGGAAGATACGTAAGCCTAGTTCAAAAAAGAAAAGTAAAAAAGTCAGGGTAATCTCTAGGAGGTTCAATAGATGGTCATGAAGTTGACTCTTGGTATATATCCCTGAGTTTGAATAAACAGGATTGAGATTAATGCCTCTAATAGAAACCACTGCTGTAGTCATCAACTCCAACTACTCTACTCGTAAAAAATCTGCAGCTTAACTTCACACAACAATTCTCTGTAGCTGTGAGTAACAGATAAAACAATGCTGAGCTTTTTCTACTGCAGCAAAATGCCCTGGAAGGCAGGCAGCTGCTTCTGCTCTGGAGCCTTATATATAAACAACTGCCAGAGCAGAAATACCTAAGTGCCTATGAGATAATTATATTGCATAGATGAGATGCCATTTGATTTTCCTCTTCCCCCCCCAACAATTCTCTGTAGCTGTGAGTAACAGATAAAACAATGCTGAGCTTTTTCTACTGCAGCAAAATGCCCTGGAAGGCAGGCAGCTGCTTCTGCTCTGGAGCCTTATATATAAACAACTGCCAGAGCAGAAATACCTAAGTGCCTATGAGATAATTATATTGCATAGATGAGATGCCATTTGATTTTCCTCTTCCCCCCCCAACTTCCTACTAAACAACTGCAATAATTTGCTGGTTTATGCTTCAATCCACTCCTTTTTGCATTTTGGGGTCGGAAGCCTATAAACTAAGATTCATGAGAAGCCACAAGGTCAAACTGGCATTATGTGTTACTTGCACTGCATCTCTAAGACAAGGCACTCAATATAGTGTTACTTGACATTAAGGCTGGTGGTTTCAGCTGAAGCTCTACCAAATTACCTAGATTCTCAGTTTTAAATCAGAAATATACAAATCCAGAGGTTTTGTTTAAAATCCTATCTTTTCCACAGGACCAAAGCAATCCAGAAAAAGGACTTTGAGACAACACTCAATTTATGCTACTTTGGGCCAAAGGGGAAGACTACGTTGACACCTTCAACAGTCATGCCAACACACAAGTCATAATTGGTTTTCTGTTGCTTCATTCTCAGACTTTTTGACATTAGAAAGAATTAAGTAAAAGTAGCAAAAGAAGGCGGCAACACAAAAATCTCCTACCTGTTTCCAGCAACATCCAAGACATGAAGTTCAGCGGCTTGTGCAATTTCAGAAGGAATTCGAGATAATCTGTTGTCACGTACAGAAAAGACGTTAAGACTGCAGCACCCCCCGATCTATATTAGAGAAGAGAAGAAGAAAAAAAAAAAACAAAACACACCGGTCTGGTTTTGGTGCAGCACAACAGTATAAACAAAGGCATGCAGTACGGGTCACATAAGATGTCACAGCGCATTCAAGTTACAATGCCTGCCAGGCACTTCACCCAGAGGTACAGACTGCAAACAAGTGTCAGCTGAAAAGAAGCCTGACCTGAAATGAGTCTGTTGGAGCAGTTTCTTGAACATCTGTATCTGCGAATAATGTACATCTTTACAAATAGGTCAGGTTCTACCCACCTTTTAGAACCTTCCACGCCAGGAAGAGATCCACGCAGGTGCCACTTCGTAGACAGCCCTCACAAAAAATACTGGCTTTAACTTTCAACTTTTTCTAGCTCTATGTCTTACACACTAATTCTTTCTTTCCTCATGGTAACTTCAGATACAAGGCATGGCAAAATGCTAAGTACACCAATCAACTTCCAGCGTTTACTGTTTCCACAAAGAGCAATGAAGAGTTCATAAAAAGCAGATGACTTTGTCAGTAACATCTTTGATGCCCTGTTTTTAGGAGCATTGAATTTCAAGATGATTCCCATGTGAATTGGCTAATTTAATCTAATATCCTCTGTCTTTACCAAGTTATCGGAACATAAGCATCTGCATTCCCCAGCTAATTTACAGGTGCAAAAGATGGGCTTTTTCAGTTTTACCCTTAAAATATCTGTAATATGGATCAAACGTACATGTTTTCAGAAAAATAAACCCTCTGCATTTGATTAAAACACCCAACACATTCCACCTTTTTGTTCCAGATGGCAACTGCTACTCCTATAAACACGGGGATTATTACTTTTAGCAACTTGAAAGCTGCTTCAAGTAACTTTGTTGCTATTCACCAAGGAAACTTACCTTTGTTTGCTTATCATATGGAGCTTCAAAAAGCACTGCTGTTTGTTTACCAGTTCCAAAACTCACCATGAGAAGGGGGGGGAGGGGGGGGGGAAGTTTCCTCTCTTACTTAAAGTATTAGAGGCAAAATATCCCAATGCCTTTTGAAGCTTTCAAGTTAAGCAGACTTGGAACTGAACTATACACAGCAAACCTACTGAAAGATCTTAGTTCAAAAATTAGAGGACTTCCATAGTCACACACATATAAAGAAGATTCTTCTGTCACAATACAGCCAACATGTCACTACACCTTGGTCAGGAGACCCCACATCTGAGCTGAAATTACCCATGTGTTCCAGTTAACTGTCAGATCTGTTGTTGCAAAACCCACAGTTCGGTCTAAACCCAAATTTGAGATTACAGACGAATGCCACAAGCGCTTTCCCACCTGGCAAAGTGAAAAACCATGTCGATTTAACCTCCACTACTTACCAAGGAAAAAGCCATTTTTTAAAAGGATGCAACTGTGACTTAGAAAACAAAACAAACAAATGGTGCGTTTATACCCCACTCACCTTCCTTTGTAGCATAAATGCATTCTAATGGAAGACAGCAGCGATCAGCTGCTCAAGGCTTCTGATTCACAAGCTATTTACAGCTCAAAGTTACAGCACAATTCTCTTGACAAAACAAAATCCGGGATGGTTTCCCTTAAATCACTGCACTCTAAGATGCAGCTACTTCAGAAGAGTATCAGTTTTCCCAGCCCCGGGTGTACCCTAGGAGCGGCAACCTTGTTAGCCATCTCAGCTCGTGAATCAAATCCCTTCAAAACCAGTTGCTCAAATCGTGAGCAGACATTTCTTAGTGCAATAATTCTGCTATTCACTTTACAGCATGTACAGATTCTTAAATGTTGTGCCTTGGCACATTCGCAGAATACAGTGGCACATAGAAAAAAAAATATATATACACACACACTAAGTGTCTAATTGGTGTATCTAAAATGAGGAGCTGTGAAAAGCAAGAGATACACTTAGTGAATGCTGATGAGCTGGCAAGTGACGCCCTAACTGTTCGCTTTTCCATGAATGAAGTTTGCATTACTCTGTCTTGGAGCATGGAGATTCAAACAGTTTAGCCAAACAAACAAAGGAAAGCCATGCAGCCCTGATGAAACCCAAACTTCTATACTTTTGACAATGGGAAAATGCAGCAGTGGAACTGGCCAGCCTGAGTCATCATGCATTTAAAGCTGTTTAATGAAAGGTAATAGTAGAACCGTGGACTGAGTAATACTTACAGGGTTATCAATTTACCTGACCCATTATTTTCCAAGCGGCTAACAATTAAGAAAATACAAGAGATGTTCAATTTATTTTTCTTTACCCACACTGGACAAGAGCATGCCAACAAATGGAGACAGAACACACATTCTTCTACTGCCAAAAAGGGTTAGAACACCTACGTTATTTTAACTTTGCCCTATCAATCAACAGGCAATTGAAAGTTTTCGTTTCATTCAGAGGTAGTGAAGACCTTTTTTTTTTTTTTGGTAGGGTAGTGGGAGGGAGATAACAGACAGATACTACATTTTTTAATGAAACTTCTTAGAGAATGCAGGCAGCATCTAACAAGCAGCATCGGGTGAGATATCACAGAGAAAAAAGATAAGCTGACAGTTAAAAAAAAAAAATCTTTGTCATTATAAAAAAAAACCCAGCACCCACTCAGCAGTACAGAAAGACATCAGGTCCAACATTTGAAAACCTAAACACGAAGTGGTACCACTGAGGCACAGTGCACACACGCAACGGCATGCTGAAAGGAAAACACCGCGGTGAGCACTGTGAAGTAACACGGTATCAGAACGTCACTGCTTTGGCTGAGAGTCGTTAACTGACAAAGAGCCATGCTTTCCAAGGGTTTGATCACATGCTCACAACAGACTTTGCCAAACCCCCACATCGGCACCAAGCACACCGTTGAGACCACAAGCCCATTTAACAGCTAGCACACAGCTCATGTCGAGCACAGACTCCAGTTAATGGGGACAAGCACGTGCTGTAGTCCTAGGCACACCAGTAACTGTTCCAGAGGCTGGAGGCTTTAAGAAGCCCTCACGTTCGTCTGTAGTGATCCAGACATCAGGAAAAGGGTCTCAAATGAAGCGTACGTGTCTAAGATTTATTTCATTCTAGCAACTGTAATTTAAGGTTATTCGCTTGTCTCACCACAGTGCCTCCAAAGAACACTCAGCCTAGATAAGAAACTAAAACAAAACCACAAACACACACCCCAGACATCAATCAGGCAGAAAATGACCCTTACTATGAAGCGCTAATTTTGAGATCACTAATTTTACATTATTGTGAAGTCTGAACAAAACTGCTTATTTGCATTCAGGCGGACTTGCTCCAGATGATGAGCGTCGCTAGGACCCTTCTGGGTTCCACACAGAACTCTACCCCTGTGGAGGATTTTTTTTGCTATTTTCTTCTGTCTCAGTCTGAGGCACATCTTTCTAACAGCCACCTTGTTCTGGAGAAGCACACGTAGGGAGGATGCCAGCTTGCCTGCTAAAACTCCCTTGTCTGTTCTGATCATGACCAGTGTTCACCACTTCAGCCTCCTCCTTCTCTGACATCCACATACCCACTGCCGGTCCCTCTTAAACACTCCCCCAGAACTGCTAGTCTTACAACATCTCTGCTGATGTTTCTGATGACAGCAGACAGGCTGTTGTTCTGACACCTGCCTCAGTTGTGTATTTTTGATCACTCAACTTTTACTGCACTTCTCTTACAATAACCTGGTGGTTGCTATTTGATTTTTCTTGCTGATGACACCGTTGCAGCTTTCTGGAGGTAAACCCACGAGGAGTGTGCAGATTCACCCTGCCCTTCCCAATTAGAGTCCTCCCAAAAACTCCCACCTGCTCCCTCTCTCGAGCCCAGCTGTTGATTACAGTCATTTATCACCACACACCAACTTTCACTGCTAGCACTGGCACATCCTCACATTGTTGGTGCTCTAAAGCCAAAATACAAACTAAAGGCGGAAAATTTAAAAGACCTTCAGGTTACATTATGTTGAATAAGATCTTTCATCTCAGCTTCTGGTAAGTGCTCACAAGCTACGAATCAATTCTGCTGTCCTTGACCAGTTAGCACTTTTCACACAGGTATAAGCAATGCAAAAAAATCCCAACCTTACGACAAACACAATAATTATTCTTTAGCATGTGAATAGTTAAAGTCCAGTGACACATCTCTCTTACTCAACTCTCAATACAGCTGTCAGCATCAAGAACTCTCACTAGGTTTATACAACTCCGATAAATATATTGGGAATTTAAATACAGTTCTGAGTGCGTAGTAAAATCTTTTCCAGGGTGTCATAACCAAAATTGTTTGGATTCGAAGTAAATAATGTCAGAATTTTCCCTGGCCCCAGATAAAACAGATTAATTCTTAAACTGCAAGCACAGAATACATTAAGAGGTGGAAGACACTTTCCAGTTCACCATTACTAGCTATTATTTAGTTATTAACTTCAAATTGGCTAGGAAAATCTTTGACAAACTCACTTCAACACCCCCTGCACCACTGGTGAAAAGTATGGGAGGAGGACAGCAAGAAAGCTTCTCTGCCCTCTGACTCAAGACAAGTTTTCCTGCATTTTTCCTTAGTGCCTTTTTTCCCTTTGAGACACATAAACACATACTTTTACACAAATGAGGGAAGGGACAGAACTTAGGAAGTTAAAACCAGAAACAAAGTGACCCAAACTTGTTTAAAAAAAAAAAATATGTAAAAAGCACAGTTATTGAAAACAAAACAAAAACAAAACAACCAAAACCCTGCAGTTTTACCTACTGTAGTAATAATTCTCACAATACACTTCAGGGCCAGGAAGGACACATTACCAGATCTCTGCAGGTTGTAGAGACTCATTAACAAAAGCACATGAACTGGAAAACATTCCAAGGAGGTTATTTATGCAAGTGCCAAAATCAACACACCAGTTTCACCAGCGTTCCAGTGCCAGGGTGGGATTTCAATACCAAAGAGTCACCAGGCAGGTCTTTCAAGTTTAAGGGGAAAAACATTTGTAACTATGAACAGGTTTAGACATCCTCAGTTCTTGCCGAAGTCTGTTTCACCACTCGGTCGAGTGAGAGAGGGATCGAGCTGCAAGATGAGATACTGAAGATGAAATCTGTCAGTGACTCAAGGCTTGGCCATACATTCAGCTGTTCCATGTTTTACCTTATATATCAGCACCAGGTACAGAACCTTTGAACCAGGAAAGTTTGAAGGGGTATTTGCATTATAAACTCCTCAAATAATCCTAAATCAAGAAATCTTACACAAAAAACGTAGAGACTGGTTTTACAAGTGTGCATTGAAACGTTTGCCCGGTTGACCCAAAACTCAATCCTACTAAACTGCTAAAAAAACAAACAAAACAACCCCAAAGCACCTACCCCCCCCCAAAAACAAACAAAATACCAACCCAAACCTACCCACCACGATAAAAAAAGCTAGAACTCAGATTAGTTTACCAGGTTATATTAGAGCAGGCACATCCTTTCTGCCACCCTATCTATAAAAGCTCTCTTTGCTACAGAAATAATTCTTGTGGGGGAGGACTGAGACACCACCAGGTAGATACAATATTGGTTGCACGTACTCTTCTCCCTAGTAGAGTTCCATTTTTCCTATACACTTCGTCCCTCTCCAACAGAAACCTGTAAAGGCCTGACCCACACCCATTTCTTGTAAGGATGAAGACCACAAATACACAGCTGCTCTCACACTCTCTGCAAGGCAGAGGAAGAATGAGAGAAAGTAGGAAGGAAAAGAGAGAAAGGAAAAGTAGGGAAGACACTGAGCCAGTGTATCCGCAGTGCATACTCCTGCATCTGACACTGCTCCTGTGAAGGGGGAAATCAGCGTGCAGGTGCTGATACTGATTGACATGCAAAGGTCTGAGACCCCAGTCTTCACCATACTACCTCAGGAGATGTCTTAAGGAACACGCAGCAGACAGGAGTGTTGAAAATGACTGCTGTCAGAAGCTCATGTCTGGTTTTAAATATTGATCAGTCAGAGATGAAAACAAATGGAAAAAGTGGTAAGCTTTTCTACTGCCAAGCAGAATCATCCAACAGACCAAAAAGGGTGACACATTTTTTTCAGTCTTCCTTAAATGAATACAATACCAAATGCATTGTTATTTTCCAAGTCGGTAATGATGAGAGGGAAAATGGAAATTGAGTATTTCACAAAGACACCACATTGTTTCTCTTTAACATCCAAACAGAAACTCAGAATCGGGATCTTTGCCATTATCAGCACCCCTGAAGCTGCTCCTGTGGATGCTTGGCGTAACAGCAAACAGTACTTGTTATACCTGCACACTCCTTACGCAGAAGATTTTGCTTTGAGAGCTGTGAAATGTGACTCTTCACTGAATTCTTCTGAATTCTAACCAGAGGACTTGTATTACAGAAATGTTTGTGTCTGGTTTAAAGAAAAAAGCCACTGGTTACGAAAAATGCTACACAAAAAAACCTGCAGCTCCGGGAACAGACGAAACATGAGCAGGGAGCAGCTTTCTTACTGCTTTCAAAACTAGCATCTACAATCTAAAGACAATCTAAAAACTTTGAAGGAAAACTGTTTTACTGCACAGCCTAAGCACAAGGAACTGAAACTGCAAAGTCTTGTTAGCTAGATGGTAGGTTCTGCAGTACTTGCACATTAACAGTATTTTTGAGACAAACCACTGCATCAGTTGGTTATGCTTTCTATTTGTGGCCATTACCAGCCTGGAACTCAAATCCACCAGTCTAGAGGGTGGATATGACCCTTCAGTTGGAGAGAGACTGACTTCCTTTAAAGATAAAAAAAGAATTTTAAAAATCCACAGAGCAAAACATACTTTAATGAAACACTCTGGAAATCTCACGCTAAATGTAATTTCAAAGTGTTTGCTCTAATGAGAAAGATACACACATAGGTGTGGGGACAAACCTTTGCAGGAAAGAAAAAAGCCTGTTTCAAAGAAGTGGATGCCAAGGAGCTCCACTTCCTCTGTTTCTTTGCCAAGCTCCTTGGGAACCACTCTCTCCCATCTGTATTTCCTGAACCATCTACGACTCCCCAGCTCACCTCATCTGAGATACATACCACCTTCCACTTCCTCACCACCTGCCTTCTCCCAGCACAGACTCATCCCTGACTTTAACCCACCCCTTGTGCAGGTGTCTTCACTCTCTCTCAGGTGCACTAATGTTCTCCACGCACGTTCGTGTTCTTCACTTCACCCTTCCATATCCCCAACTCCTTCACCAGCTGAGCAACACTTTCCACCTCCAAAATCCATTTCTGGTCCCAAGCCTCCAGTTTCTTGCCCGGCATCCACTCCTTTATTGTTCTGCGCCAAGCCCTTCTCCCTGTTGTTCCCCCCAAACAAACATACTCCATACCCACCCTGCTTTACCTGCTTCTGAACCTGAGCCTCCTCTTCTCACCTGCTCCTGTCCCTGCTCCTTCCCAGACATGCTGCTCACCCTCATGCACCATCTCCAATACTTCATTAACTAAGAAAAATGCTTATACACTCCATAAGCTACTAATGGCCAATCTGGAAATAAACTTTATCAGTAAAACCTTACAAGCTGTAACAAACTCAGATCAATTCTGCTTAAAGGCAAACTAGACACAAAACTCTATGGGTTTCAGGTACAGATAGTTTAGGACACCTGCAAAATGTAGTATATTATTTGTAAAGACATGGAAAGTTTTCTGCTGAATGAGCACAAGATCGGAATTGTCATTACATGCCAGCCCAGAAACACGGTTTTCCCAAGGTCCTGCCTCTTGCTAGCATTTATGCAACCAAACTGGGTACATCCTCTGCAATTTTATGTTCATAAGCAGCAGCACCTCTGCAGAGGAGACACTGTCCTGCTAGAGGAGTCGCATACTTACATCTTCTCTTCCCTCCCACATCGAACCTACAGTCACAAGCCAATCTGTAAAGGTGCAATTATGGGCTATCGTGGAGCCACAATCAGGTGACCGACCTGTGGCAGCTCAGACGTGAGCCACTGGAATTGCTGCTGCCAGTGCCACACAGCAGCATCCTCTGCCCCTGCTCTATCCCCCCTCTTCAGACCATCATCTCTCCCCCATGACCCCGTTCCCAGCCACTTTGCTTCCTCTCCACACCTCCTCCTCAAGCTGTCCAAGCTCCATAAGTCAGCGGGCCTGAGCAAAAAAATGTGCACTCACTAGCCAAAGCTGATACTCCTCTCAGTTTCTACCCATCAGCTGCCACGGGCTCCTGAAACGACTGAGAGTGGTGAACAAAAGCTGAGTCATGTTAGAAAACAAAACCTCTGAGTCACGTTAGAAACAGACGGGATGATTAAGGGGGAGAACTACTTGGACAAAAATTACAAAGAAACAGCAGTGCAGAAAGAAACAACTCACAGTCCTGTGCTCCAATCACGGACTGCTGCTTCCACTCACCTCTTTCCAGAATTTACTGCTGAACTGAACTCGTAAGGCCTTCACTGTACTTAGTTTCACAACAGAAATTCTAGCCTCATTTCATCCCACATACTGTTACGATACACAAGAAGTCCTAGTGATCACAGCTGTAAGATTTGAGGTATTGGTGATCTCGGTCACGTCAGGTCCTCATATCTAAAGGCAAAAGTAGTCCCGGGATTTCTAAAGCCAGGAAGACTGTTAAAACAGTCTCTGAATCATTCACAGAATATGAAACCTTCCCTTTGCACACTGATGTTTAAATGCATTCACCCTAACAGAACTCCCAGTCTTCAAATCGTGCTGGACCTGACACCCACACTGGGAATTACTAGTTACAACCTAATTAGATCCGAGCCTTCTTGTTCAACTACAAAGACATTCTGCACTTCCAAGCCACCAGATCACCACAGCTGCTGTTCAGATTTATGCGGTTCAGATCTAACTGACGTTACTGGTTGTGACTGGTTTGGGAAGAATACCCAGTGGATCAAAGCTGCCCGCTACTTCTTATAGGCATTCGAAATCAAGAGTTTTCTGTTTGTATAGTCACATCTGTGAGAGTTAATTGCATAAAACTTACCTCTTTGGGTAAAGATGTTAATTTGTTTCTATCAGCATTCAAATTGTTCAGCTTCTTCAGTTTTCCGATGCTCTTGGGCAATGACTGTGCCAACGAAAACAAAGTAATAGGCAAACAGAATTTTTAAATTCAGAGTCAGAACAAAACTTATCTCAATTTAAAATTAATTAATTTTTATAGATTTAATAGACTTATTTATAGATTTAATAGATTATTTAATTTAACATATTTTATTTAATAGAATTAATACAGATCCATTTTCAAAATTGGAGGGTAGTTAACCCTTGTTACTACCAGGCCTTCCAAAGGAGAATCAAGGTCTTATCTTGCAGAAGAAATGTTCAGGATTGTCAGTTTCTAATACAAATTCACTCATGAGTTACATCTGCACTAAGAGGATAGATGCACAAGAGCTGTGTGCTGAATCTTGCGTGCAGAATGTCCACAATATCCAACTTTAGGCTCCCTAAATAGCTAATTGAGAGGCAAGCTTCTAAGTTAGGTGCTGTGAACTGACCTCTGGAGAAGCAGCTTTCCAACAGGCTTAAGCTCCTAACTCAACCAAGCACCAACCTAACTTAAGAAATGTTCAAACCTTATAATTTTTATAAACACTTCTGCTTTCCAAGTGTCTGTGACACATGAAGGCAGTTTCAAAATAATGGAAGGAAACACCTAATGGAAGGATGTCCAAGATTTTATTTTAACTGACCACATACCAAGTTTAACACCCGGCTGGAGTAGATCAGCAGAGCAATGAACAGTACAACAGCACCTCTGCTGCATGTGGGGCTTCTATTCAGTTTCAGCAAGTCTGATCCAGATAATGCACAGCAAAACTTGGCAATAATGCAACATGGCACAAACTCCACATTAAAACCATGACAAAGTAAGCAATACCTACACTCCATGTGCTCCAATTCCCTTACTGGTCATGAAAGATTCAAGAGTGAATATGTAATTGGTTAAGCCTTTGGAAGGGTGGATTGTTACTACACACAACTTGATCTCCAGCATTCATTTAACAGGTAAGGAATAAGATGCATTTAAAGGAAACTTGCTGCTTAGCAGTAGCAAGGGTGAGTAACCTCATGAGCTAAGTGATTCATCACTTACCGTCAGCCATTTGAGAAGCCGTGACCATGCTTACCTGCAACTGGTTTTCTGTTAGAACGAGTTCAGTAAGGCTTTCGCAGTCTCCAATTGAATCTGTTAGCTGAATAAGTTTGTTCTGATCCACCTTCAGAATGGAGAGCCTCCTCAATTTTCCTGGACAGAAAGAACAACACCTTTGTTTAGCTTATTATCCTCTGACACCTGCTTTAATTACAGAAAATTTTACTGCCGCAAAACCTTTAGAAATCCTCTAGCACAATGTGGTTTTGTGGGTTTTTTCTAGATTTGAAAAAGAACTCAAGAACTGCTATGCTTGGCGCTTGCACTATTTTTGCAAGTTTATAACATCACTGAATTCCCATTCAATAGAAACGTTCATATGCAATATTTAAGCATATTAAATTGTATTGCAGTTGCAATTGTACCCCAGATAAATGCCAAGGATGTGTCTACCCAAAGGCTTATATCCAGGAGAAAATTACCTATTTTATTCCTCAATTATACAGTGTTTATTAATAAAGAAGCATTCAGAAGATCGCCTACGCCTACTGAACCACAGCAAGAAAGACCTGCACTGAAGTGACAGCCCAAACCCAAACAGGATCAAGGTCTCTTTGCCTTAACACAGAACCCAATTAGTCAGAGATAAAACCCAAGTTTATTTCTTAGAATGGAAATCAAACTTCTCTAAAGTTTGTCTCCCCAGGAAGGACAAAATACTATGTCAGTTCAGAAGGCTCACCTTGTTCTGCTCTGTGGTGCAAAGCAGAGCTGACCCAAGCAGAGCCCAAATTCAGGAGACATTCCTAGCTGCTGACACCTCCCTGCCCATCCCCACATGGTCCAAAACAGCTGTAAGAAGCTGGCATATCAAATTCACAGACAATGCTAAATCAATAAAGAGATGGCTGACACACAGGAAGATAGCACCCTGAGCAGAAACCTGAGGTTGTGCATGGAGAAGTGCAGCGTTCCACACCTGGGCAGAATAAATCCATGCACCAGTACAGGCTGGGAAGTGACAGGGTGTACAAAAGCCCTGCTGGAAAGGATCTAGGGGCTATGGTGGGCACCAGGCTGAATATGAACTAGCAGTGAAATTAAGTAAACACTGGCTGGACCACATTAGGAGGATTATGGCCAACAGATCAATAGAAGTTACTATATCCCATCTACTTGGCACCAGCAAGGTCACACCCATAAAATCATGCTCAGTTTCATGTCCTGTTCTGTATTCCCCCCGACTCCCCAGTTCAAGCGAGATGTTGATGGGGGTGCAGTACAAAGCTACCGAGATGACCAGGGCACATGTGAGCTGAGGCTGAGAGAGCTGGCTTTGTTGACTCCCACAAAGAGGCAGCCAAGGAGGTATTGAGGAACAGCCCAAAAACACCTGAAGGGCAGTTACAGAGATGACAGAGCCAAAGTCTTCTCCACAGCAGCAGGCAAGGCAGCAAGGGCCACAAATCGAAGCGCGGGGAGTCCCAGATGGACACCTGGAGAAGCTGCCACACTGGGAGGGTGCGCAGCAGGCTGACTGGGGGTGCTGGAGCCACCTCTGTTTGGGGCTTCAGAGACTTGGTGAGACACAGCCACAGCTGATCTGACCTGGTGGGGTTGGGGAGAGCCCTGCTTCAAGCGCTCTACAGATCCACCAATCCAGCCAATGATGAGGTGACAAGCAGAGCCCCTCCTAGTAGCTTCAACAGAGATCAGCAAGGTTCACTTCAACCACAATACCAGATTTTCTCCATTTCACATAGTAAGTTCCAGTATTACACAAAAGGAGTAAGTATTGTAACTCTACCCAATTTTCCAAACAAAACTAAGCTATTATATTCACGTAAGTAGCAATTTCTGGGTGGGTTTATTTTTGTTTGGTTTGGCTTTTTTTTCTTTTTTAACAAAATTACATCTGGGAAATGTTATAAAATGCACATGCAAACCAGGCCTGACCTGAATCGGCCTGGCCCTTTGCAACCGCTTTCCCCAGCAAAGGATGAGGATTCTGGAGAAGCAGTAGCTCCCCTTGTTCATGAGCTGGTGTTACAGACAAGCTCGTTTCTGGCAGGCTGCACAGGCCTTTGAGAAGATACAGCTCCGTATCTGACGTACAACAGCTGTACTGGCCAGCTCAGGGCTGCTACTACTCTACCAAACACACACTACCCAACTGTAGGACACACAGTAGTCAACTCCACTCCCTCAAGTTTAACTGCTAGAAAAACATTTCTCTTTTCTTAGGCTCATATAGCATATGGATGGAGGGGGCGGGTCTGTCCATTCTTTTCCCACATTCCTGGTTAAATCACATTCACAAATCCTCCTACCCCTACACCTTTATTGGGGGGGGGCGCGGTGGAAAAAAAAAAAAATCTTGGCCAGGAGAAGGTACACACTTGCAACGTGACACCTTCTTGCAAAACAGCTGATAAGTAGTAGAGAAACAATGCCACACTGACTCCTTGTCACAACTACTGCAGGGGTAAAAACATTAACCTTAAAAAAGGCACTGGTAACGCTTCAGGAAACATTCTTCTGTTATTAAACCTGATTTCAGGGGTCAGACACACAAAGGTTATCGTTTGGATGCTCAAGGGTGAGGAGTAATGTGGTGAAGCTGGAATAGCCTTCCACTGGGTTCAGCGTAGAAATAGTCACATTGAACTGATGAATTACACATCCCCACTAAAAAGGGTGTATTTCTTTATAGAGATACTGTCAGTCAGTCTTAGCAAGTGACCTACAGCATGTTACAAGCTAGAATTTTACAATGTTGAAGAGTTATGACGGTGACGTGGACACGGTAGGAACAGAGAGGGTATATCAACTCTTCTTTTGTTCGGGTAGGTAACAAGTGAAGACCAAAAAAGGACTACAAGGTAGTCATTACACAGACAGTTAAAATGCAAAATTAATAGAGCTATGCATTTCATACTAAGAAAAAAAAAGAAAAAAGGCTGAGAGAAGCTCATCTCTCACACTGAAAGACTTCAAAAGACTTGGAAACAAATTACTTCCAATTTACAGTGGATTAAATGGTGCTCTGTGATAGCATTCACCTTGTACTTACCAATGCCATCAGGTAAGACCTGAAGTAAATTCTGAGAAACAAGCAAGTCTGTTAAAGAAGTCAGGCCACTAATTTCTTCAGGAAGGCATTCCAATTTATTTTCAGAAACATCCAGACAAAGCAGGTTTTTCAGGTTTCCTACTTCCTGCAACGCAAGACAAAAAAAATGTAAGTCATGCCCAAACATGTAACAAAGCAATTTGAAAAATGTACCATCGCAATGAAATTCCGGAAAGAAAAACAATTCTCTGTGACCTCTAAATTGACCATTCTTTGTATGACCTCTAAATGCAGAAAACAAGTAAATAATTACATTTTATGTATGATAAACCAACCAAGTGATCCAGTCACAGTTACTTACTCTAACTATTAAGACTGCCTTCGGTAGTGAGACAAGGTATGCTGAGCAGACCCAGACAAACACCAGCCAAAACTGGAGTTTTCCTCACGTAAAGACTGCAAAGTTGTTTTTTCAGAACTACATATTATCAGACTCCACGTAATTAAAAGTCTGCCCCTCCCAATTAACCCTAGGCAAATTAGGATTAGTGTCTCCTGGTTGATACAGCAACATGTCATGACATCTAGGGATTTCGTATCTTCACATCTCCCAACTGCAACAAATGTAGAAACAGGAATTGGGAGTGTTGCTCTAGCAAGCATATCTGGACTGCCAAGTTATACTGCCATCATCTACAATTATTAATGATTACTTAATTTTTATACACTGCTAATCCACCAATTATCTTAGAAGTCTGTTAGAGAAATACCTTCGTCCCTATTTGCCACCCGAGCACCCTCCCATTCCCCACGCACACAGACACCCCCATACACTCTACAGAACAGTTCTTATTTTAGTCATGTAAATCATCTTTTGGAGAACACAACAGCTGGACCAGAAGTGTCCTTTAGTTTTACATACACGAAATTTTCTTACAGCGACAGCCTTGATCCTAGCTCATGAGATCAGTCCTTCTATTCCAGAAATGTTTGCCTCTCAAGAGGCTCCTTCATTAAACACACACACACACACCCTTTACCCTACAAGTTCATCTTCTGGACATTAGACAAAACACACAATAATAGCCAGCTTCAATAAAAACAGCTGCTGAAGTCACATTTGACCTTTTATGAATGACTACCAGTGTTTAACTGCATTCACGTAAAAAATTATTAGGCCAAGCCAGCAACAAACTCAAAGCAGCCCACTAAACTGTAACTGATTTTCAAGTTATACTGTTGACAATGAGATCAATACAGCAAATAACAGCAAACTGCATGAGGAGCAGGAGAAAACAGGTTTTGACTTGGGTCTAAAGAAAAAAGAGGGAAAAGAAACCATCCCACATGTTATCACAGTTCTTTAAAAAGGGAATTTAGAGTGCTGTAAGCTTTAAGGCCCCTCATCCCATGACTGATGTCAGTCAGGGGATTTGCTTGCATAAATCAAATTTTCTATTTATGGCAACAGTTCTATTATTGTACTTCTCCCAAGCAGTGTCTTTGAATGGAAGAAGATGACTGCAAAAGACCCCAACAATTCACCCTCAAAACTGTCAAAACTGAAGTTTAGATAGATACAAAAGGCCAGGGTTAGATCAGACAACTAGTGGCTTCCTGATCATTAGGCCACAACGGTAAACATAGCGTCATCCTATAAATTGAACTATGTGCTTATTAGGAAACAAGTCTTGTGTCAAAAACTTAGAATGGTTTGGGTTGGAAGGGACCTTAAAGACCATCTAGTTCCAACCCCCCTGCCATGGGCAGGGACACCTTCCACTAGACCAGGTTGCTCAAAGCCTCATCCAGCCTGGCCTTGAACACTTCCAGGGATGGGGCATCCACAGCTTCTCTGAGCAACCTGTTCCAGTGCCTCACCACCCTCTCTGTGAAGAACTTCTTCCTGATATCTAATCTAAACCTCCTCGCTTTCAATTTGTACCCGTTACCCCTTGTCCTGTCACTACAGGCCCTAATGTTTAAAAGGCAATGTCTGACAACACATGGTATCATGTACAATCACTTGCAGAGGAATTTATTAAGAGAAAACCCTTACACATCCAAAACCAAACCCAGGCAAAGTGAACTGAGAAAACTATTTGGTTCAAAATTACCTCTCTTTAGGTATGCACAAAAAGGTTTTCTTTTAAAAGCATCTTCAAAACAGTATCAGTAGAGTTCATCTTTACCTGAGGTATTTCGGCTAATTGGTTTCCATCCAACCAGAGGTCTTTAAGATTGAAAAGTGCACCAATTGTTTCGGGCTATAACATAAAAAGAAAAATGTTAAGTAGCATAGGAGCTTCAAGTAAAAAGCAAACGGTCACCCTGTAATTACAGCCTGAGTAAACCAATCCCTACTCCAAGCACTATTTAGAGGTACCATGGTTAAATGCAGCAAGGGTGACTGTAAGCATTTGGTAACCCCATCATACAGATTAATTGTTATAGCTTAACAAGCTACCATACTTGACATGCACTAACAAATTGCATGCACACTCTTAATCTACTGCAAATCCAACATTTAATTGAGTCAGCTTAAGGGAGATGACAGATATCTTTTGGTAAATCAATCTGCCACAATGTCAGACACTGCAACCCTCAGCAGTCTGCCTCTCTGCCCTTTCCCAAAGATTCCTACTCCCACCCTGGAAATAGCTGAGCTTTCATCTGTGCTCAGCCCGTCCAGCTCACTACAGAAGCCCATGTGTTCACTGTAACTGCAAGTGCAGACAAGAGTTTGTGCCCTTCCACTCCTTTTTCCTTCTACAGAAAAAGCCTGTGCAGCACTCTCATTTTCTGGAGACCAATTGCAGTTTTTTGGGTAAAGCAATATTGTACTGCACAAGACTACGCAGATACAGGAAGCACCAACTCACTGCCACAATTACCTCCATACATTTTTTTTTCTTCAACTTTGGACATCCGATGACCTATTTTACACATCATTGAGATTGATTAAGACTAACATGCACTTTCAGTGGCATGTTTTCTTACCAAGTGATAAAGTTCATTGTTTCCTAAATCAAGTTCTTCTAGTCGCTGCAGCTGGGCAAGTGATCTGTGAGATAAGTCAGAACAAAACCACATCAGACTAAACCAGCAGAAACCCCATGTATTTGAATGAGCTCATTTCACTGAAACTTGCATTTCAAATTACAATGTATTGTAGACAGACAGTTATTTTACTGGGCATAGACTATTTGCAGCAATATCTTACTGAAAAATATGATTTGGTTTGTCAGTATAACTGGATGCCCATGAAACTTTACACAGTATAGGCAATCAAATCATTATTCTTTATTTTAACCATCAGTCCATTGGGGTGGACAACGCCACATACTTCAATATAGTTGGTTAGATTTATTTCTAGGGGGAATTCACAGTTACACAACTGAATAAAAATTCCCCAGAGTGAGCCCATGTAACAGTGTGACTCAAGACTCAGTAAATCCACCATTTATCTTCTCAGCACAATCTATCCATTTCTGAAATATTTCAGTTTGGATCTGAGGATGCAAAGAGAGGCAAGCCCAAAATGATGCAGAAGAAAAGTTCTCTCAGCATGAACAGACACAGAGGCCCACTCTTCTGCTTCAAAAGCAGTCTGTTGCAGAGCTCTTGCTTACCTTCCCCAAAGCCGCAGCAGCACAAAAAAAAGCAAGACTCATCAGCTATATTACTGACAGTCAGAATTTTCCAGAAGCGATAGAACTGTCAGCATTTGTGAGAGCTTCAATCTGACACCGTATGGCAAAAACTAGCTAGCAATTCATATCTTCTGACCACTGACATTTAAAGTGCCTCGTGGCTCGCAGCTATAAACAGCCGCAACCAAGGTACTGGGTAGATTGACAGAAAAAAGGACCCCAAAGCAACTGGAGAAGAGATTCTGATTAAATTAGGTTAAATCTATTACAGTATCTATTAGATTATCTAAACAAGCAGAGTGGGAGTCATCAAAACTCTTGCAAGAAGCACCCAGGTAGTGAAGGAAGGAAACTCCTTCACTACGGAAAGAAAAGGCTTCTTACGGGCAGACAAAAGGATCCCCAAAATATGAGAGACTCAATTAATCTTACAAAAGATTGCCAATTCCTCTGCCACAATATAGACAGCACAGAGACACCTGGATATCTTTCTTCCCCCAAAATCACAGTGGGTAGAGTCACAGCTGAGACATCAGTAGGCCTAGTTTGTCACCAAGGCTTTGATCTCCAGGTTTTGGAAGCTTGTGGTTACTTAGCCCTGAACATGAATGCGTACTTAAAATGCTATAAAGGTCTGGAGTAGATATTGTCTGAGATCCTATCACCCTACTTTCAGAGTTAGGAAATTTCAGCATGAGAACAACCCAAACCACCACTCCCACTGCTGATGCGCTTGTTCAATACCTGCAGGAAGAAGTGTTCAGTGCCATTTTATTTTATGCAAATATTTTTGTAGAGCAAAACCAACCTACACAGACTGCAGGCTCCTGCTAATAATCACAGAATAGTAGAATCACAGAATGGTTTGGGTTGGAAGGGCCCTTAAAGACCATCTAGTTCCACCCCCCCTGCCATGGGCAGGGACCCCTTCCACTAGACCAGGTTGCTCCAAGCCTCATCCAGCCTGGCCTTGAACACTTCCAGGCATAGGGCATCCACAGCTTCTCTGGGCAACCTGTTCCAGTGCCTCACCACCCTCTCTGTGAAGAACTTCTTCCTGATATCCAATCTAAACCTGCCCTCTTTCAATTTAAACCCGTTCCCCCTTGTCCTGTCACTACAGGCCCTTGTAAACAGTCCGCCCCAGCTTCCTTGTAGCCCCTTCAGGTACTGGAAGGCTGCAATAAGGTCTCCCCGGAGCCTTCTCTTCTCCAGGCTGAACAAGCCCAACTCTCTCAGCCTGTCCCCATCGCAGAGGTGCTCCAGCCCTCTGAGCATCTTCGTGGCCTCCTCTGGACTCTGTAATCAAGTACAACTAGAAGTAATGGGCATAAATAGGTATTGCTGAAAGAAAGCTGTATCTCACAGGTTGTCAACTGGCACTGAATAATTTTTCTAGCTGTCATTCAGTTTTATATGTTAGCAGATTTTAAGAACAAGAACATTTTATGTTAATAAAATCAAACACATGAAATACCACTTACTCAGGTAAATATGTCAGCAAATTTTCTCTAAGTTCCAGTGAAGCCAGGTTATAAAGACTGGAAAAAAAAATAAAATAAACCCACACATTTTAATACAATCTTACTTTTTGTATTCCACACTTTCAGAAGAAAAGTGTTGTTCACACAGTTTAGAACAAAATTGCTGTGAACTAATTTTTTGTTGTTTTAATTCAACCAGACCATCACGTGAAAGGCAGCGTACAAAGACTGGAAGTTTTTGCTTCTTTCTTTGTGATACTTCCACACATTAAAGACAGAAAGTAAACAGAGACAATACATGTTTCCATTTGTTAAAAGGTCAGTAAGTTGCAAGTTACTGAACAGAGAATATTGACATGAATTCCATTTACTTACTCACTTTCAGAATCTGGCGTGGGCTACCAAAGTTACAGAGCATCAGGTAAACCCATCACTGTCCTAACAACAGCGTGCTCATTACCGTAAGTGACATGATGCTTCTAAGCGGCTCACTTAATCCATATCCCAGGCTTTTACTAACATCACCATAGCAACATTCAGATTTTTCCAGGGTTTATTTATGACTAAATGGAACACAAGGAGTCAGACATTATCCCAACACTATAATCTGCTCTAATCCTCCAGCATCCCGGGGGAAAATAAAAATCAGATATGGTGACTGCAAATAGGTGGTTTCCTACGATAGAATATGTTCTGTCCTGTTGTGCAGGGAAAGGTGTGCTAGACCTTAAATAAAATCTAGATTAAAAAAGGAATTCTACTAAATTTGAAACGCATGTTAAATATAAACCCAAGATCTTTTTGTTTGTACACTTCAGAAAAAAACCCCAACAAGCCCATGTATTCAGACCACATAAAACTGAAATACTTGTTTTCACTTCAAACAATACCAACACCCAAATCACAAGATCGTTAGTTGACCCCAGTGAAAAAAAGCAGCCAATAACCTGAACAAAACTAAAGATAAACCTTCATACTGCAACTTCAATACAGGTATCTAAGCAGGGAAGGTAACACAACTGATGCAGGGAGTTCTTAAAGGGGAAAGAAGATTTTTCGTGGACTGCCTTTGGATGGTGTCTGAAAAATGCGTCCTTATTTCAAAAGCACCACTTTCGTACTACATTCAGAAACCAGTGAAGGAAATCTCACAGGAGCTTTGATTACGGTCTCACCAGTCCTCTCCAGCTTTTAAAATACACACATTTTACCCAAGGGTTCTGTATTCCTCCAGAAGAAATACAGTTATAACATATAGGTGAAGACATTTTAGAAGTCGTCTATTACAAATTCAATTACAAAATAAGTGAGAACAACTCAGCTACTGCCACTCAAAATCATCTGGCAGACACAAGGTAATGAGGAAGCCATCGTTCCGCCAACACAAGAGAAAACTTTCACCCAGAAACGTTAACACTATAAAACACAAGTCATGGTGGGACACTGTATCCAACATCCTCACGGAAACCAAACCAGTGGAGGGAGAAAGGGAAGGGGTGATGGAGAATGGTTTCTCTCCAAGAGGAACATGGGTTTGCTCTTAATCACACTGCCACCCACAGACTTCCATTAGATTTTTTGTTTACTGGTTTTCTAGAAACCTATTCCAATCTTCCTTTGAATTTCGCACTTTCTCCTCAAGCTCCTCTTAGGGGAAAGACAACCATGATTCACTTTCACCAAAAGAACACAGAAAGGATGCGCACACCGCCAAGCTGCCTCATTAATCTTGTGTTTACAGATAACCCTGCATCTACTTATCTCCCTCCCCATCGCACTGAAGTGCCGACGAGTAAAATGGTGCAATCTCTTAATTTCTCCTCTTACATCACACACCGCTTCGGCTGTGGTTAAACAGAAATCTTTGTCAGCAAAACCATGTTCAACAGCAAGAACTTGGGAACCACCATCTTAATCAGCCTCATCATATCATTAAACTGGGACAGTCAAGTGAATCAGCTCAGGAAACTGATCCTGCTTAAAAATAACCCAGCAAAAAGAGGAACACAGATCCCTAATCCAACATAGAATAAATCCCCTTAAACACCTGGGGCAGTACAACTGCCAAGAAGCTGCAAGGTGCATCTTCCGTCCAAGCCAGCCACGCTATGAGGACTCACTGTGTAGCCGTGCCCAACAACAGCTGTCTTTGCATCCAACTGCCTACGATGCCTTTCGGAGACTCACTGTGGCCAATCACAGTCCCAGGCTACGTTCTCTTGTTATGGGAGTCAACTACCGACAGGATTACTTTTTCATCTCTATTGGCACAGCTTGCTGGAGGAGAAATGCTTTATTCTACAGCTATTCTCATCCACAGCACACTCACTATAACTCTACCCTGGAACAAAGACACTGCCCTCCACCACTTTAATCTATCCTTTCTACCTCCTCCAAGGTCTTGAGTCCAAAGCCACTGTAAGCAGACCCCAAAAGGCAAAACGAAGCTTCCCACCAAGTAATGTAAAATAGAGACTAATTCTATGAAGTTTATACCAGCAAAGCTGCCCCATCAGACTGAAATATTATGTATAAGGTGGATGCATCTGAAAAAGAACCCAGAAAACAAGAAATATTTGATTCATTACTCTTAAATTCTGACTAGTTACAGAAGCAGCTCCCAGAAAACCTATGTACTGTAATTTAAAATGGGAAAATATGACAGTTATCATATAAAACAGCATCACATAAAAGGCATGCTGATGTACTGAAGCACCAATCTCTGATACACTACAGAGCAGAGGTACAGCTCTTCCTTAAATTTACCAACTGGTTCTTAACACATGTTCACTAACATTTTTCTGGTTTTAAGGTATGTTAAGAAACAGGATTTTTAGTAATTTGCAAGAAAAATCCTACATTTACTGCTATTTTTCAAATATGTTTTCTGATTTAACAACACATTCTCTCCAGAAAGTGTAATACTTCCTGTTCTCAACTCCAAATAGAGATTTTTCACCATATACTAAATGAAATAATTTCTCCTTTTCCCTCTCCCCTCAGTTTTATGGATGCATTGCTAGTCAAGAGTCTTTCTGAAGTCTCTGAAAGGAACTAAGAGAAGCCATACTTTAATGATTTCAGAGTCTCTCCCTAAACCTAATCTTCATCTAAGCGAGAAAACCAGTTATGGGGATTACCTGTTTTGGTCCATAAATCACACAGGCAACAGCTATCTAGTCTTCCAGTACCTGAAGGGGCTACAAGGAAGCTGGGAGGGGACTTTTTACAAGGGCCTGTAGTGACAGGACAAGGGGTAACAGGGTTAAATTGAAAGTGGGGAGGTTTAGATTAGAAACTAAGGAAGAAGTTCTTCACGGAGAGGGTGGTGAGGCACTGGAACAGGTTGCCCAGAGAAGCTGTGAATGCCCCATCCCTGGAAGTGTTCAAGGCCAGGCTGGATGAGGCTCTGAGCAACCTGGTCTAGTGGAAGGTGTCCCTGCCCATGGCAGGGGGGTTGGAACTAGATGATCTTTAAGGTCCCTTCCAACCCAAACCATTCTATGATTCTGTACTCAGACAGGAGACAGCTCTATCAGCAGCTGTTCACCAACTGCATTTAGAAACACAAACGCACCATAGAGCATTGCAGGCTGCTCTCTACCACAAACAGTCCCCACTCCCCCCTAAAACCCAATAGAAAATGTACAAGCTATATTCTAAAACAATACCCTATATTCTAAAGGAGAAAGGGAAAAAGAAACCCCACCCTAAGTACTTTTCTGCGACTACTATTCTCACAAAGCTATTTCACAGAAACTTGTAAAAAGCATTAATACTGTAATAAATCTCACCAAATAAGCTACCACACACACCTAGAACACTGAGCATCTGTGTGAAAATACAGACAACAGCCAAGCTAGGCAGAGGATGCAGTAATTGACATAATTACAAAGTTTTCCAGCTCAGCATTCCAGCTGATCTCTGGTGTAAGGGTGGAACCAAGTCGAATTTAAAGGTACAAACAACATGACTGAAAATGTCATTTTCAGTACTAACCAGACATCCTTATTCAGTGCTGCACCTAAAGTAACTGTAGATACTGGTGAGCCAGAAGCATGAACAGGCAACTGTGAAATCGGTAATTGAGCACAAAACTAATAGCAACAATGTAGTCCATAGATGCTGGAAGTGCCTTTCCTGATTGTTCCTGTCAGGATTTGAGAGAGAAACTTGCATTGCAACCCAGTCTACAGATAAAGAACACTGCAAATACTCCTTCATGTCATCCGCAGCATTCTCTTCCAAAATAAAGGTAAGACTACAATCAGCCACTAAGGTCAGAACCAAAGCATCTTCTTCTCCTATCAAAATCCCCGGCAGTTTGAAAAGTAAGAAAAGAAAAAAAAAAAAAAAGACAGAGACATAAGTTCCCTAGTTACCTTGAATGAAAGCACATTTTCACACGTACATTCAATATGTTCTGTCTTGTAAAGTTAAAAAATACAAAACTGAGATGAGTTACCCTAGTGCTTTATCTATCAGGGATGGCTGCATCATTCCCCTATTCCAGGGGGACAGAAAATCATCCGTAAGAGTGACAACAGACAACACTATATATCCCATTTCTACCCCAGACCCATTTTTATCCCAGTTCCTGCAACAGGACTGAGAGCACCCAAGCCCTTGGGGTTCACCAGCAAAGGCTTCAGAGGGAAGCAATGAGAAGCACAGTAAGATATGCTATTTTCTTGTGAAAATGAACTTAAAAATACAAAGGTGGAAAGAGAAATGTAGAAAAAGCTAGGAGAAAAAAAAAAAGAAGATAGACAATAAAAGGACTAATATAAAAGCTAAAAGTACTTAATCAATAAAAACTGGACATCGGCCTTGTATTACTTGAGTAATGGAAATCACACGTTTTGACCTTATGTCAAAAGAACCACGCAGGTGAGTGCGCAAGACTCTGGGAAGTCAGGCTTTGGGAAACAAGGAAGCAAAGTTGGAAGAGATGAAGATCTAAAAGACCTGCAGAAATGCCTGGCCCCATCTGCATCCTTTCCAGCAAGGTTCAGATGGTTAGGGGAATATAAATTCCCATATGTATTTTTTCTTCA